CCCTAATTTTTAGAGGGTTTTTTTTTCAACTTTTTTTTGTTTTTCTTTTTCTTGTTCACGTTTGGCCTTCATTTGTGCTTGATCTTCCAGTACTTGTGAAGGTAATAGAGGATGAAGCACAAACTTCTTACCCTTGTGAGTAAAAAAGTTATTTTATTAGTTAGGCCATCATGATGAGTTTGTTTATCAAATTTCCATGGCCTACCTAATAAAATATGATATGCTTCCATGGGAACTACATCACATTTAACTTTATCTTTATAGTTCCCAATAGAAAACTCTACAAAAAAAAAAAATTTAAAAAAAATGTCAGATTTTACATCGGACTACATCATAGCCGATGTAAATTTACGTCGAACCTAGCACTGGCCGACGTAAATTTACGTCGGACATGGTGTAGTCCGACGTAAAATCTCGCGTTAATTTGTTCACATTTCAGGCCCTTTTTTACGTCGGGCAAAGGGCATGTCCGACGTAAATTTACGTTGTCTCTCATATGCAACGTAAATTTACGTCTCTTGCATTAACGTCGGAGCATTTTCTGACGTAAAATCCTTAAAATAACCGACGTAAAAGACCCCTTTTATACTAGTGATAAGTGCCTAATTAACTATATTGAATAGGTTGTCCAGCGTGAATATATTAATTTTCATCATTAAAATATTCAATTTCATCATATAATCATCTTCATTTTTATTATTTTCAACTATTCTCTAAATTTTTAGCTTTGTAGTCTAGATTACCAAGATTTGCATCATTTTGAAGAAAAATCATAGGATATTTAACAAAAAAGAATATGAAAAACACCCTCTTGAGAATCAATATCAATTTTGATTAATATGTTTATTTCTTTTTCGTTTTAAATGACCATAAGGTTATTTTCTATGCAAATGTTTAAATCCAAACAACTAGACAAATATAGATAAAAAAAAACTAAATTATAATCTATATATGATCCAAATTATGAGTATTTAATGAGTAAATGAATGAGATGAAATAGTATTATCTAATTACTTATTTTTAAACCTTCACGCAACTTGTCGTAATAGAATAAAAAAATAATAACAGTTGGATGTCACCATGAAATTTATAATGACTAACAAATAAAAATTTTCAATTTGATTTTAAGATTCTAATAGAGCATAAAAGGTCACAATTAAGATAATATGAAGAAAATTACAAATAAATTTTTATTGAAAAATAAAAATACCACATATCAATTGATTAATTGTTGTTGATTAGTTTATTTTTTATAATAATATTTTCTTATATAATTCAATTATGTAATTTTTATTTTTATATTTGTATAATTTTAAAAAAAAATTAATGCCCTTTAAAAACGATGTCTTGAACCATCGTCCACCCTAATCATGCTCAGAGTCATCATTGTTTATTGGCTCGGCTTGAACTAATGACTTGTTAGATTCAATTAAGTTGAATTACTTTATATATTTTAATAATTCTATAATGATATATATATATATATATATATTCTGAAAACGGAACGGCCTGTTCCAGAGTAGAAATTAACACATATTTTTCCTTTCCAAAACGGCCCGTTCCAAATTTGACTTGTTTGGAACGGCCCGTTCTGGTATTGGAACGGCCCGTTCCGGTTTTAGGAGCGTTGGCTAACAAAGAGTGTTCCAGGCGGATATACAACCATTTCACGATCAAGGACATGGCTAAACTCAGGGTCATGTTCATGGATTTAATTGGGGAAGTCTAGAAAATGTGCAGGTGGATTATATATGGCTAATGATTTTGCTGGTGGAATATTTGGAAGTGGGAGGGAGTTTTCTTCATCATCATCTTCATGTTGGGAGAGGATTTCGTCTTTGTCCTCGCTAAAAGGATCAAAGACATTTTCTATTGGGAGACCAACAATAGCATGTTCTTCAATGGTGTTTTGCACATTTGGCTAAGAGGGTATAGTTTGTTCAAATGGCTGAGAAGGTATTTCATTGAGGTCCATGAATGGACCAGTTAAAAGTTACGTGTAGGACTGAATGTCGTATTCAGAGAGAATATTATATGAAGGAGTAGATGGGTTTGTGTTTTGGTAAGTTTGGTAAATTTGGTAAGGTGAAGGTGAAGGTGAAAGTTGTTGTGGAGGAGACCAACAATAGCATGTTCTTCAATGGTGTTTTGCACATTTGGCTAAGAGGGTATAGTTTGTTCAAATGGCTGAGAAGGTATTTCATTGAGGTCCATGAATGGACCAGTTAAAAGTTACGTGTAGGACTGAATGTCGTATTCAGAGAGAATATTATATGAAGGAGTAGATGGGTTTGTGTTTTGGTAAGTTTGGTAAATTTGGTAAGGTGAAGGTGAAGGTGAAAGTTGTTGTGGATGTGATTCATTTGTAGCATATAATTCAACACTTGATTGAAGTTGATTAGAATTGTGAACATCAAAAAGTGCCTCAACATCTTCGTCATCATTCAACTCAACACAAGTGTAGTTACTAACCCCCGGGCCAAGTCTAATAGGGTAGCGAAAATGTATAGTAGCCACCCTTTCATTATCGTGTCAATGTAGTTTTGTGTTGATGACTTTCTAGAGCCTTTTCTAGAGTTATTCCCTCTTTATACGAACTACTTTTGTTGATAGGGAGGTGAAGGTGACTCCTTCATTAGGACATTGGTTAATGGAACCATCTGAGTGAACAATGACATAGATTGAAGAAGACATTTTTTTGATTCAAGAAAGGGAATGAAGAATGTGATTGAGGGGATGAGCTTAAAAGGGGATGAGCGAAGGAACAAGCTTAGAAGGTGAATGAAGAAAATGAAGGGATGAGGGGCTATTTATAAATGGTAGCATTGGATTCCCTTAACAATTTTTTATATTTTTTATAATTACTGTATATGTATGTTGGGGTAGAAGGT